TCTCACTTTAGAAATGGATCTCAAATGTAACTTGAGGACCTACTGTATAAAGGATGAGAGGCAGATGCATGAAATTTATGCAAGAGTAGTCCTTTCCCCAGCTGCTGGTACTGGCTTCCCTCTGGGGGCTGGGACCTGGGTTTCGCTCTGCACCCAGCTTCGTCTGGAAGGATGTTGGAATGATGTCCAATCTAATTAGCATATTATACTTTTATTATTATAGATATGCTAAGGCTGCTCAACTGCTCACTATGATGTACACCAAGGGGCAGATGCATGACCAGTTGGTATGATGTTCACTGACCACCAGGGGACAGATGCTCTGACCAGTAGGTGAGCTTGCTGCTGGTCCAGTCTATTGGAACTGAGTGAGACTGGCTGGACCTACCCTGGAGCCCTCCCATGGCCCCTCCTGAGCTGGCCAACCTCCCACCCCTCCCTGGTCCCAATCGTGCACCCATGAGGTTCCCTCAGCCTAGCCTGCTCCTTCTCACGATCTGCGAACCCTCTGCGGATGTTGGAGAGCTAGTTTTGGATTTATCTCATAGGCCATGCCAAATGGATCTCAATGGTGCATGAATTCATGCACTGGGCCTCTAGCATAACATATATACACAGATGACAGTGTGGTAATGGTCAGAGGGAAAGGAGGTTGGGGTTTAGTGGTGGGCAGAGGTGGGTAAAGAGAGGGAAGAAAGAGTCTTTGCTTGGAATGATGGACACATGATCCAGATGATGTTTTATTGAGCTGTATACTAAAAACCTATATGGTTTTGTGAACCAATTATCCCAATAAATTAGGTTAAAAATATAGCCCTCACCAGTGTGGGTCAATAGTCAGCCCATGCACTAAAGTGTCACAGGTTTGAATCCTAGTCAAGGGCACATACCTGGGTTGTAGGTTTGTTCCCAGATCTGATTGGAGTGCATATAGGAGACAACCAATTGATATATCTCTCACATCAATGTTTCTCTTTCTCCCCTTTCTACTCTCTCTAAATCAAACAAAAAATATCTTTGGGTGAGGATTAACAACAACAAATAATAATCTATACTAATAAAAGTTAATATGCTATAATAATTTGACTGGATAGATAGGACATCTTCTGGACATGCCCCAGACAAAGCTGAGGCAGCTGTGAGGGCTGAGAAGGGCTGTGGCAGAGCAATGGGGTAATGGGAGGCAGTGATGGCTCATTTACCTGATAGGCTCATTCACCTCCTGCAGAGGGAAGCCAGACTGCAGCTTAGGCCCACCTGGGACATCCCCTGAGGGCTCCCAGATTGTGATAGGGGGCAAGTCGGGCTGACAGCACAAATTTTCATGCAACAGGCCTCTAATAATAATAATAATAATAATAATAATAATAAATAATTTGGCAAACTTGCTCTGTACAGAGCCAAATAGTAAGTGTTTCAGACTTTATTGGACATGTGGATACTGTTTCCAGGACTCAGCTCTGCCGCTATTCTATGAGAGCCACTAGCCCACATGTTTCAATACAATTTACCAACACTCATAGGTTATAGGCCAGGCTGGGCAGTGCATGTGAGCTGGTTTCATGTAGTATGGTTTTTTGTCTATGTGCTGACTGCCACCCACCTGTCCTGTGAAAATTCCCAGGGAAGGTGCTCTATTTGATTCTGTCCATGGCCATATCCCCAAGTTGATGGGGTTGGGGGATTTGGGAGGGAGTGTCTTGGAGTTGGTCCAACTACGTTATTTGCTTAAGCAAGCACTTTGTAGCCCATTGCTGGAGTTGGGATCATCTGCTTAGAAACAAGTGAATCTGATATTCTAAAGGGCGGACAATTATTTCCCCAGATTTTAATCAGGATAAAGAGACATATCAGCTGAATTTAAAATATGCCTGGCTGGAGTCGTTCCAAGATGGCTGACAGGTAAACACCTAGTCGCAGCCTCACACAACAATTTCAATAAAATACAACTAAAATATAAAATGGACATTATCCAGAACTACAGGAAAGTTGACTGACTGGAAATTCTACAACGAGAAGCAAGGAGAAAACCAGAAAGAAGTGTGGAGGAGCTGGAAAAGCTTAAGGTACGGAGACACGAGGCGCTTGGAGAGGACGGAGCCGGAGAGGAGGGAGGCTGAGTGCCTGGCGGGCGTTCCCTAGCGGAAAGGAGATAAAACTCCAACTGTGCTGGGCCCCCGAATGCTCTGAACCCCAGTTCTAGTCCAGACCCTGGGGACCCAGGCTCATCCATAGGGAGCTGGGCTGTAAGGTGGAACTCTGGGGGAGTGGCAAAAGGAGGTCCCAGCGGTGCGCACATTGCAGGCAGAGAAGGGACGGTTGGCTGTGCCTCCGGATTGCCCTGGCAGGAAGGAGACAGGGGCTCCAGACTGCTCTGAACGCCACCTCCACAATACCGGGCTCATTGGGGGAGAGTATAGACTGTTTGGCAGCAGGCGAAAATCGAGGGCACCTTTCTCTCAGAGGCGCTGGCAGCGAGAATTGAAGGACCCGCATAGGGCGGGGCTGACGGAAGCCAAAGCTGCAGGCTCCACCCTGAAACCCCGCCCCATCCAAGCAGAACACAGAGACTTTTTTTTTAATTAATTAATTAATTTATTTTTACATATTTTAATGATTTTTTTGCCCCCCTCCCTCTCTCCCCCATATCCCCTCCCTCCCCATAGTTTTATGTCCATTGGTTGTACTTATATGTATGTATACAAGTCCTTCGGTTGATCTATTATCTCCCCCAGATCCTCCTCCCCTCCCCGCTGTAATTTGATAATCTGCTTGTTGCTTTACTGTCTCTATATCTATCTTTTGGTTCATCAGTTAATAATGCTCTTTATTATCCACAAATGAGTGAAGTCATGTGGTGTTTCTCTTTCATTGATTGGCTTATTTCACTCAGCATGATGTTCTCCAATTCCATCCAGGTTGCTGCAAATGATGAGAATTCCTTCTTCTTTATGGCAGCATAGTATTCCATTGTGTAGATGTACCATAGTTTTTGGATCCAGTCATCTGATGATGGGCACCTAGGCTGTTTCCAAATTCTGGCTATTGTAGATTGTGCTGCTATGAACATAGGGGTGCATATACCTGTCAGAATGGCCAACATCAACAAATCGACAAACGACAAGTGTTGGCGAGGTTGCGGAGAAAAAGGAACCCTCGTGCACTGCTGGTGGGAATGCAGACTGGTGCAACCACTGTGGAGAAAAGTGTGGAGTTTCCTCAAAAAACTGAAAATGGAACTCCCATTTGACCCAGTAATCCCACTCCTAGGAATATATCCCAAGAAACTAGAACACAGAGACTTTTAAGGCTACCAACTCAGGAAAGCTGTGAAAATGCCGAGATGAAATAGATCACAAATGAAAGAAATGGAGGACAAAAAGTGACTAGATATAGAGTTCAAATCTACGCTTATAAGGTTTTTCAAGAATTTCCTGGAAAAGATGGATAAGACCTATGAAGATATTAAAAGGGATCAACTAGAATTAATAAGGAATCAACAAAAAATGATAAGGGATCAACAAGAAACAAAAAATACATTGACTGAAATAAATAATATTATACAGAGTCCCAAAAAACAGAATGGAAGATCGCAAGAATCAAGTCAAAGTGTTGGAACATAAAGAGCCAGAAGATACTCCTCCACAGAAGCTAGAAAGCAAGAGAATCCAGAAAATTGAAGATAATGCAAGAAACCTCTGGGACAACTTCAAGCAAACCAACATCAGAATTATGGGGGTCCCAGAAGATGAGAGAGAGCAAGATATCGAAAACATACTGAAAGAAATAGTGCCAGAAAACTTCCCCCACCTGGTGAAAGAATTAGACTTACAACTCCAGGAAGCGCACAGAACTCCAAACAAAAGGAATCCAAAGAAGACCACACCGAGACACATCATTATTAAAATTCCAAGAGCAAAAGACAAAGACAGAATATTAAAAGCAGCAAGAGCAAAGAAGGTAGTTACCTATAAAGGAGCACCTATACAATTGTCAGCTGATTTCTCAACAGAAACCAAGCAGGCCAGACAGGAATGGCAAGAAATATTCAATGTGATGAATAGTAAGAACCTACAGCCAAAGATAATCTATCCAGCAAAGCTATCACTCAGAATCGAAGGCCAGATAAAGAGCTTCACTAATAAAAAAAAGCTAAAGGAGTTCATCACCACCAAACCAGAATTATATGAATTGCTGAAGGGGGTTCTTTCAGAAGAGAAAGTAAATAAAGATAAAAATTATGAACAACAAATACGTAACTATCAACAAGTGAATCTAAAAACCAAGGAAATTAAAAAAAAATCTGATGAACAATATTAACTGTTGAATATAATAGAATCAGAGGTATGGAAGGCGAGTGAACTGACGATTCTTGGGGAAAAGGGGAAAGAGGGGCGTGGGAAGAGACTGAACATAAACTGTGCACCTATGGATGAGGACAATGGGGAGAGGGGAAAGAGCAGAGGGTGGGGTGGAAACCTGGTGGAGGAGAGCAATGGTGGTGGTGTGGTAAAGGAACATTGTAATAATATGAACAATAAAAATTTATTAAAAAAAAAATAAAATATGCCTGGCTGGTGTAGCTCAGTGGTTGAGCCTTGACCCATGAACCAAGAAGTCACAATTCAATTCCTTGTCAGGGCACATGCCTGGATTACAGATTTGATCCCCAGTAGGGGTTGCGCAGGAGGCAGCTAATTGATGTTTCTATGTCTCTATTCCTCTTCTTTCCTCTCTTTCTAAAACCAATAAAAGCATATTTAAAAAGAAAAGTAAGGGAACGGTGCCCATCAGCTAGTGTGACACTGGGTCTCATTACACAAAGATGGCAAAAGAAGCTGTGGAAATGCCCCATCTTAGAGCAGGGCACTTACCCCAGGGCTTAGTACGACTGCCCCAGCACACTGCCTTGCACAGAAGCAGGCACAGATGCCCGCCACGTGGTTCAGAGCTCCCACTGGCCTCTGCGCGCACCGCCCCGGGGAGCCAGGCTGTCCTACCTTCTTCACAGACAGGTCGAGGTCCAGGTCACTCCCCGTGTCCTCCTCGGGCTGCTGCTGCTCCTGCAGGTCCTTCTTGATCAGCAGCTCCACCTTGGGTGCTGACATGCTGTAGTATGTGGAATTGGTGGACAAGGACACGGCCGCTGGAGCGCTTGGCTCTTATTTTGAATCCAGGGTTTGACCCCACAACAAGAGTGATGCCTGACTGCCTTTTTAGGCCCAATCTTACCAGGATAAGGCCTAAACAGGCAATGGGACATTCATTGAGGTATTTCAGATTGGAGAGGGTGCAGGCTGGGCTGAGGGACAACCCCTCGTGCACCAATTTTGTGCACTGGGCCTCTAGTGAACTTATAAGGGTTTGGTACTTGGATAAAGGTAACTAGGTATAATCTAGCTCCTGCAATAAATTAGAAATTCAGGGACCGTGGAAATCTGGTTCCCTCTGTGCTCTTCCCAGACCAAGGGAAAGTCCAACATCAGTAGTGGAACAGGGCACCAGTGAAAGGAGTACAATTAGGTTTTTGCCAGGTCTTGAGTCCAAGCACACATGGGAACTATTAGGTCACATGCGGGCACATCCCATAATAGGACGTGAGATATACAAGTCCATACAGGCTGTATTTTGGAGCAAAAATGAAAACTTACACAAACATTTTAGAAAACAATGCATGTTCTCATACACTGCTTTATTTGGAAATATTTATATTATGTTGCAACAATACTTTTATATGGATTATTTAATTCAGAAAAGCACCACATACAAAGAAAGAGAACTTTCTAACATAGGCTGCAAATTTACTAATTAATAAAGCCTTTAAAATCAATAATATATTGTGAAACATGAAAAAAAAAATGCCCTAGCCAATTTGGCTCAGTGGATAGACCATTAGTTCACAGACTAAAGGTTTCTGGATTTTATTCTGTTCAAGGTCACCTACTTTGGTTGTAGACTCTTCTGCCCTAGTCAGGGCTCATGCAGAAGGCAATCAATCAATGTGCTTCTCTCCCTTCAGTGTTTCTCTGTCTTTTCTTCTCTCCACACTCTCTAAAAATTAGTGGAAAAATATCCAACAACAAGAAAAGAATGACTTGCTTTTGGAAACTGCAACAATTAACTGATCTTTTCAAATTCATAGCTGTTTTGATATGCACAATCTATTTCTGTCTTATACACACACACTAGAGATCTAGTGCATGAAATTTGTGCACGAAGAGGGAGGGGTTCCCTCAGCCCAGCCTGCACCCCTCAAATCTGAGACCCCTAGAGGCATGTCTGAATGCCCATTCATGATGGGAGTGGGCCTGAATGGGCAGTCGGACATCCCTCTCACAATCCAGGACTGCTGGCTCCCAACTGCTTGCCTGCCTGCCTTCCTGATTGCCCATAACCATTTCTGCCAGCCTGATCACCTCCTAACCACTCTGCTGCCAGCCTGATTATGCCTAACTGCTCCTCTACCAGCCTGTTTCTCCCCAACTTCCCTCCTATGCTGGCCTGGTCACCCTAACTGCTCTCCCCTGCAGGAATGATCTCCTCCAACTACCCTCCCTTGCAGGCCTAGTCCCTCCCAACTGCCTTACCCTGCTGGCCATCTTGTGGTGGTCATCTTGTGTCCATATGGGGGCAGCCATCTTGTGTGTTAGAGTGATGGCCAATCTGCATATTACTCTTTTATTAGATAGGATAGAGGCCTTGTGCATGGGTGGGGGCCGGCTGGTTTGCCCTGAAGGATGTCCTGGATCAGGGCGGGGGTTCCCTTGGGGCATGGAGCCTATGGTGGTTTGCAGGTTAGCCACGCCCCCTAGCGACCCAAGTGGAGGCCCTGGTATATGGAATTTATTTACCTTCTACAATTGAAACTTTGTAGCCTGGAATGGAGCTAAGTCTCCTGCTCGCTCCTTGGCAGCAGACATTTCTGTTGGGGTTTATGTACCTTCTATAATTGAAACTTTGTATTCTTAAGCAGAGGCCTGGGCTGACCAGGATGTGTGGAAAGCTTTGCTTCTTCCATTGCTGGGGGCAACTCTAGCCTCCTGCTCTTTCCAGCTCCATGGCTGTGCCATTTCTGTTTGGATTTGTTTACCTTCTATAATTGAAACTTTGTAACCTTGAGTGGAAGCTTAAACTGGTTAGGGTTGGCGGAAAGCTTGGCTTCCTCCATTGCCTGGGAAACCCAAGCCTCCCTCCAGCTCTCTGTGGCCCCAGACATCTTGGATGGGTTTATTTGCATAATCACTCTGATTGGCTTGTGGGCATGACTTGTTGGTATAGCAGAGTGATGGCTAATTTTTATATTACTCTTTTATTAGGTAGTATGTATTTATGTTCATAGACATACACACATAAACATGCCTGTAAAATATGCATATATGCTTCACACAAATGTTTATTTGTGCTGTAGGCAAAGCTCATGACATAACTATTACATTTGCAACAAACCAGCCAGCCACACCTTTGCTGACACAATACCTCTTGCAATCCAACGGCAATAAAATGAGCCCTGGGTTGACTCCCAGGAAGGCCAGAGCCTTCCTCTGAAGAGACCAGCTCTGTGCTGTTGAAAGAGACTCTGACCAGGGCAGCAACCCGGGAACCAGCCAGTGGAGACTTGTAACCTATTAGCCAGCAAGCTGATAGGACACTTTTCCCTGTAACCCCTGTGACTGAGGGATGAACTGCACCCAAGGACATGCTACGGGGCCTGGGAATTATCAAGAAGTCATTGGATTACCGAAGGGTAATATGCAAATTGGTCATGATGCCCTCACCATAACAACTGAACTGTAGGCTGCATGGGGCAACCAGGCTGGCAAGGGGATTAGTGAAAGATGAACAAATGACTGATCAGCAGGCAGTGTGGGGTGATTATGTCATCATGGGGGCTTGTTGGGAGAGACCAGGCAGTCAGGGGGCAGTTAGAAGTGACCAGGCCATTAGGGGGCAGTGAGGGATGACCAGGCAGGAAGGGGGGACAATTAGGGGGACCAAGTCAGCAGAGGGGGCAATGAGGGGTGAACAGGTAGAAGGGGTGTTGGGGGGCAGTTGGATCTGACCAGACTTTTGGGTAACTAGGATAGTAAGGGAGGAGCAGTTGTGAGTAACCAGGCCAGCAGGGGGGGGGGAGGGGAGACAGTTGGAGGGTGACGAGGCTGGCAGAGGGGGCAGTTAGGGGTGATCAGGCAGGCAGGGAGGTGAACAGTTAGGAGCTAGCAGTTCTGGATTGTGAGAGGGATGTCTGACTGCCAGTTTCAGATATCCTTGGAACAGTCACAGATTAAGGAGGGTCCAGGTTGGACTGAGGGGACCACCTCCAACTCACACCCATGCACAAGTTTTGTGTACCAGGTCTCTAGTTTACTTATAAAATAAAGTTCTGTCATTTTGACAGATGTACATATGTGCTTTATGTTTTTTATTTTTATTTTTAAAACAAATCTTTATTGACAAGATTATTACAGGTGTTCCTCTCCCTTTCCATAGATCCCCTCCATTTTATTTCCCACCCCAACCCATGCCATTACATCCTGCCACTGTCTTCATCCATAGGTATAAGATTTTTGTCCAATCTCTTCCCTCACCCATCATATCCTCTACTCCCTGATAATTGTCAGAGCACGCCCTTTCTATGTCCCTGATTCTATTATATTAATCAGTCCATTCTGTTCATCATTTTTTATTCACTCGATTTTTAGATTCACTTGTTTATAGATACACATTTGTTGTCACTTTCTTGTTCATCATTTTCACCTTTAGCTTTTTCTTCTTCCTCTTTTTAAAGAATATCCTTTAGCATTTCATATAATCTTGGTTTGGTGGTGATGAACTCCTTTAGCTTTTTCTTGTCTGTGAAGCTCTCTATCTGATCTTCAATTCTGAATAATAGCTTTGCTGGGTAGAGTAATCTGGGTTGTAGGTTCTTGTTGTTCACCACTTGAATATTTCTTCCCACTCCCATCTGGCCTGCATAGTTTCTGTTGGCAAATCAACTGATAGTTGTATGGGTGCTCCTTGTAGGTAACTAACTGTTTTTCTTTTGCTGCTTTCAAGATTCTCTCTTTGTCTTTTGCTCTTGGCATTTTAATTATATGTGTCTTGGTGTGGTCCTCTTTGGATTCCTCTTGTTTGGGGTTCTGTGTGCTTCCTGAAATTGTAAGCCTATTTGTTGCATCAGATAGGAAAAATTTTGTCATTATTTCTTCTAATAAGTTTTCGATATTTTGCTCTCTTTCTTCTTCTGACACCCCAATAATTTGGATGTTGGTATGCTTAAAGTTGTCCCAGAGCCTTCTTACACTATCTTCATATTTTTTATTCTTTTTTCTTTCTTGTTTTTTTGAGTGGGTGTTTTTTGTTTCCTCAAATTTCAGATCTTTGGTTTAATTCTTGGGGTCCTTTGATCTAGAGTTGAATTTCTGTCTATTCTTTCTTTTAGATAGTGTATGCTTAATTTCTGGTTGGTCCTTTTCCATTTTTTCCCCCTTTGGCATTCTCATTAAGATCATTGAAGGTCCCACTAAGCTCCTCTTAGGTTTCATCAAGTTTCTCAGTGGTTTTTAGAAGATTCTTGAGAACTTTGTAAATGTGGTTTTGAACTCTATGTCCAGTAATTTGCTTTCCTCCATTTCTTTCATTAGTGACATGTTTTTGTGTCTCTGCATTTTGCCTGCTTCCTTTGTTTATGAAGTGGCTTTGTGTGGTAGGTGACTTATAGGGGCCAGTAGCTCAGCCTCCCCAATCACCAGAGGTGGATGCTCATGGTACACCTTTTTGAGGGATGTCTTGGTTTAGTTAAGCCTTGATTGCTGTTGGTGCACTTGGAGGAATTGATCTCCAGGCCCATTGGCTGTGAGGACCTGCAGTGACAATGGAAGAGCTGCTGCGCTGCAGACACGCTTATGGTGCAGGCCTTTTTTCAGTGGGGCTTTGGTGCTCATTGAGTCTGCCTCCCGAATGTGATTTATGGATGTGAGGAGTTGAAATCTGGTGTATCACACTGACCACTAGGTACACTGGCTTATGGACCTCCAGTGGGGTGCAGATCAGCCCCTGTCTGAGGCCACCCTCTTGGAGCTACAGTGAGAACTACAGTTTTCTCCTCTTTGCTTGGGGTTTGGAGGTTTTGGAGCTGTCTGACCAAAGCTGCAGTTTGTTAGGTTAAGCTGTTATAGGGGAGGCCATCCATATGCAAAAAGCTGCTGTTAAGATCTTGGATGGGTTTGTAGATTGTTTGGGTGTCTCAGGGAGTCACTAGGTTAGGGCATGGCAAACAGTGATGGCTGCTAGTCAGCCATCTCTGCATCTTTGAGTTTCCATATTCCTACATCTTGCACCCCCACACAGTAAATAATGATTCCTGCGTGCGGCTCTGCAAGCAAGCCACCCTCACTTTTTGACCTAATGGTAGAAAGTCTAACTTCTCCTTGTAGTAGTTTGGGTCCCCAGCATCTCCCCAGAAACTGGATTTCAAAGTAATTAGGAGTTTGTCTCCCTTTGGGTTGAAAAAAGCAGCATGCCCAGTAGCCTGCTGCTAGCCCAATTCGAGCGCTTCTGTACCTCAGCTTTTCTGCACTTATGCATGTCTCCATGCTCTTTTCTCTTTCCTTCTAGTTGTAGAACTTCCACTTAGCCAGCTTTCCCGTGGTTCTGGGTGATTGTCTTTTAGTTATAGTTTTGAAATTGTTGTCTGAGGTAGCAATTTAGGTGTTTATTTATGCCACCATTTTATTTTCTCCTTAATGTTTTATTTTATTTTATTATTTACTAGATGCCCAGTGTACGAAATTCATGCATTGGGGGGAGAGGGTGTATATCCCTCAGTGCAGCCTGCACCGTCTCTAATCTGGGACCCCTCTCACAATTGGGACTGCTAGCTCCCAAATGCTTGGTTGCCTGCCTGCCTGCCTGATTGACCCAACCTTTTTTGCCTACCAGCCTGATTGATACCTAACTTCTCCCCTGCTGGCCTGATTAACTGGCTTCCCCTACTGACCTGGTTGACCCTAACTATTCTTTCCTGTGACTGGGGCACCCCCAACTGCCCTTCCCTACAGGCTTGGTTCCCCCAACTGCCCTCTCCTGCTGGTCATCTTGTGGCAGCCATCTTCTGTCCACATGGGGCGGCCATCTTTGTCCATGGGGGGGCAGCCATTTTGTGTGTTATAATGATGATCAATTTGCATATTTCATCTTTATCATTTAGGATTTGCCACAAGTAAAGGTCAGGAATTGTTATTTTTAATTAATTAATTTATTTTTTATTTTTTTATTTTTTACTGTTTCACTTCATTACTGTGTATATGCTTCACATGAGTGACATAGGTGCTTATGTAGGTGGGTTCCTACTTAACAGCAAAAATTGCTTTACTGAAAATCACATTACAGTCACGCTGTAGGAATGGATCTCCGATGTAACCCAAGAACCTACTGTAAATTGTTCCAACCCTGACTTGGGTACTAAGTGGCAAGTGTCTTGTCCATGTTCCTCTCGTGTCCTCAGGAGGAAGGCCCCTCAGGCTCAGTGAATGCTTCAGAGCAGAACCAACATCGCACACCCATTTCCTTGCCTTTGCCAGCCAGGGCCGCAGTCCCCACCATGCATGGTGGGAAGTCCAAGGGCAGGACCGTGTTCCCAGCCAAAAGCTGCAGCTCCTCCATGTGGCAGAGGACAGCGTCCCTCTGGGACCTGAGAGGATAGGTTCGCCCTCTGCTCCCAGGCTGCGGGCACCGCCTCCACTTAGAAACTAGCTGAGGAAACAGCCGAGTGTCAGAGCCCAGACAGTATCAACTGGTGTGGGGAGTCAGATTTTTAAAAAATGGCTATTAGGTACACACCAAGACAAATGGCAGTTATCAAAATAACCTGAACACGGCAATGAGTGTTTCAGAAAACAACCACAGCCAAGCGGCCGTGTGGGCAAAATTCAGAATGGCAGTGATACTGGCCACATGGCAGCGCTGTCTGACAGAGGCGGCTCTGGCTCTGACGGCCAGCGAGCAGGGAAGGCCCTGCGACCCTCACGTCCCCCATTACTTAGGCCTTGTGACTGCTCAGTCAGTGGGGCGCTGGGTGACAGGGAGACGTGTCCTAACTCATAACGAATCACAAATGCTTGCCCAATCTTTCATGTCCAAGAAGTGAGGGACCCTGAGAGGTCCTCCTCCTGCTAAAACTCTTTCAACTCTAGGATCCACTGACGCCTATTGAAGTGCCAACACATGCCATTCAATCAGTACCCAGCACCTCTGAGAGATGAGAGAATGAATAAACCTTCCATTTACTACTCAGATCTCAGTGCCTTGGCTATGTAGGCCCTCATTTGATGCAATTCTTCACAAGGAGTCTGTCTGCAGACTGCCTTAGGATGTGCTGTGAGAGCTACCCAGATGGGAGATATGAGAAGAGACAAATAATCTTTCCTGTCAAAGAGCAGTTTAAATAGCCACATGTTGGCCTGTGTGACTTGGCAGTCACTGAGAGGGCAGGACAGGGCTAACTCCTGACTCCAATTTGTACTGTGGGGCAGGGCAGGGCCAACTCCTGACTCCATCTTGTGCTACATCCTCCATTTTGTATAACTATGTCACTATGTAACTGGACCCTAGCCCTCACCCAATCGGGGTCAGCCAAAGCAGTGACCTCACCACCCCTATATATCCTTTGAGAGCAGAGACCTGCTCTCTTCTTCCACCTTGTCGCTGCGACAGTATGTGTATGTGGGGTGGGCTCTGGTTAGCTTTTGCATCAGACTCAGCTCCCTGGTGGTCTTTGGGAAACACAAATCTGGGCATAACATTTGGGGGCTCATTCAGAATTCCAAATACCGTGAAGGACCCCAGACCTGGAAAGCCTGACTGGCCATGGTAGTTGTCTGTGTATTTGTGTGTTTCTGTCTTTCTTGTGTGAACTCATCTCTAGAAGGATGTGGAATCCCCTCATATTGGTAGTGCCCGGTGCGGTCTAGATGGACGCATTGCTGAAAGATCATGGACTGGAGGATTCGGAAGATGTTCCAATCCTCCTGGGAGGGATGTGGAATCCCCTCCATGATCTAAGACAAGGTGGGTCACTCCCACTGGGTCGGTGTGAGGCCATTATCTAGCTTTCGGATTTGCTTCCACGGGGTTGGAAGGCTGTTCTTAGGGTCCCCTTGTTTGTCTATGTTTGTATTTCTATGTTTTATTCTATGGATGCATGGGAGTATTTGTTATCTTTCTGTTGTTTAAATTGTTGAAGATAGGGCAGTCCTGTTCTGATGGTCTGTAAACATCTTAAGCAGTGCTGATGAGTTATTTTTCTCAGAGATGTTTGCTCTCTATCTCAGTGGCGGGAATCAGCCCATTTAGCTAATAAAAATTTCTCTCTCTGTTTGTATGTTTGTTTCAGTAAGGGTTTCATTTGCTCTGGTTTATAAATTTGCTATATTAAATTAAAATTTTAAAGACCTAAGGTTAATTTAAAGGTATAAATTTGTGACATTTCAAGGAACAAAGAACTTTTATTTATGGCTTTGTTATTTCTTTTGGTAATTGGAAACTTTTACCAAAGTTGGAGATATTACCACAGGGTGGAGATATTTACAGGC